TGGAGTAGAGAATGGCTGTGGATTTACTGCAGTCAAAAACATGATAAGGATTTGCCCCAGGTTTCTTTGACTTGACACAGTTTAGGGTTTCAGGGAGAGAGGAAGGAGTTATGAAGTTGCTGAGTTTGGGGTGCCGTTTTTTGTCTTCCCAGCTGGTCTCCTGAATGGGTAGTAGATGGCTCCCTAGTAATCTCAGAGAATAAAAAGGCCCCAAGGATTCATTTTCAGCCTCTAGGGAGAGGTCATCTGTCTTGGATTCTCTACTGTTGACTATCTCCATGGTGACAGACTCTGGGTAAAAATAATCTCTGTAAGAGAACAGCTGATTCTGCAGAAGCAAAATTGACCTCACAAAAATAAATCAAACCAATCACCACCACAAAGGCAGCCACCAGAAGAACCTGGTTTCTGTGTTATCACCACAATACTAGTATCATCTTTGCTACACTTTTACGATTGGGATGAGTTAGATTCTGCTACTATTTAATGAATGTTGATGTGCTTGCTCCAAAGACATTTATGTACATTCATTCACTTGTTTAATCCTCACAGCAGCCCTCTGAGACAGATGCCATTATTATACCCATCTTACTAATGAGTACGCTGAAGCAAAGAGATTAAGTAACTGCCTAACGTCATGCAGTTGTGGTGAGATTTAAATCCCACAAAGAGATTTAAATCCACTCTGGTTCAGACCTAGACCGCTGGGACCCTTCATTTCCTGTCTGCTACTTTTCAGGGGCTTGCATAAAGAATTCTGTCTTTGTGTCCGCACTGGTATGACATGGTTCATTCGGTCATTCTTCATTCATTCATTCCACAATCATTTCACATTCTATGTCAGGTGCTTAGCTGCAGCTGCAATGCATTAGCAACCAGACCCGGGCGTCATCCCCACAGAGCTCAGTCCAATGAGATAAGGGTCTGTCTTGCTCATTCATTAGGCAAAAAAAAAAAAAAAAAAAAAGTCAAAAAATACTAAGATATCCATCAACAAAGGGCTGGTTCAATAAATTGTAGTATATCCATATAATGAAATACTCAGCAAGTGTTTTAAAGGCTGACTTAGGAAGATGCCTATAATATATGGTTAAGTTAAATAACCAAAACCCTGTGTGCTATAGCATTGCCTGCTAAAAATGAAGAGGCTGGATTTACTGCAGTAGAGAAATTCAGAGAAAGTTTCCAACGGCCTTTAAACAATAAATGTGCAGGCCAGCCATGGTGGCTCATGCCTGTAACCCCAGCACTTTGGGAGACCAAGGAGGGTGGATCACGAGGTCAGGAGTTTGAGACCAGCCTGGCCAATATGGTGAAACCCCTACTCTACTAAAAATACAAAAAATTAGCTGGGTGTGGTGGTGTGCGCCTGTCATCCCAGCTACTCGGGAGGCTGATGCAGGAGAATTGCCTGAACCCAGGAGGCCGAGGTTGCAGTGAGCTGAGATCACACCACTGCGCTCCAACCTGGGCAACAGAGCAAGACTCCGTCTCAAAAAATAAATGAAAATAAATAAATGTACAGATAATCGAATTATGGAATAGCAAAAATCCCACAAAAACCACTGCATTGGTCAAGAAAGAGAACATTGCCAGTACACCCAAAGTACTCCACATGCCCCTCCCACTCACAACCCTTTCTTCCCCTAAAGGAAACCACTGTCTTGACTTTCATAGCAATCACTTCCTTGCTTTTCTTCATACGCTTTATGACAAAGTTTGCTCCTAAACCGTAACGTTCAGTTTTGCCTATTTGTGGACTTTCATATAAGTGCAATCCTATAGTATGTATTGAGTCTGATTTCCCCAGGCGAGTTAATATTTTTAAGATTCAAGCATTTTGCATGTTGTCATGGTTACTATGCTTTATTCATGATGGCCATCCAGCATTCATGAAAAGACCACCAGCATGGCTAAGTAGTAAAAAGAAGAGCTTTAATGGTGATAGAAGTTTGCAAACTGCACAGAGGGACAGTCTCCAGCATGGATCAGAGGTATTCTCTCTTCCAAGAGAGGAAGGACAGGTTGGGTTTCATGCTTCACAAGGCCTGTATTTATACATATTCAGCAAGTTTGGGGGGAAGCTATACATATTTATGAGTGGAACTGAGCACATGCGCAATGGAAAAACATGTACGTAACATCTTTCGTAAACAATAATGTTTAGCTTTGCATGTTTGTGGATTGCATATAAATGGAATCCTATAGTATTTATTCAAGTCTGGCTTCTCTTCCCCAATATTGTGAACGTTTTAAAGATTCACCCATGTTGCATGTAGCCGTGGGTGCTGTGACTGTTTCGTACATGATTGCCATCCAAAAGACCGCCAGGGTGGCTAAATAGTAGGAGAGCTTTCTTGGTGATACCAGCTTGCAAACTGTGGGCCAGGTTTTGATGTTAAACGAGGTGGAATTCGGCTCTTTATGTCAAAGGTGAACTATAGGACACAAAGACAATTTGTTCAGGGCCTCTATAGGCTGGCTGAAACTGGCTTTAGGTCTGCAAGACCAGCCTGGGCAACATGGTAAAACCCCCATTTCTTAAAAATATATATATACACAAAAAATAGCCAGGCGTGGTGGTGCTTGTCTGTAGTCCCAGCTACTAGGGAGGCTGAGATGGAAGGGTCCCTTGAGCCCAGGAGTTTGAAGCTACAGGGAGCTATGATCGTGCCACTGCACTCCAGCCTGGGTGACAGAGAAAGACCCTGTCTCAAAAAAAAAAAGGAATGAAAACAGAAATTTAAAATATATTTATTAATTCCAAAATAACAAAAATTCAAGTTAACATAATTAATTTTGTAATAAAGATTAACTCATTTTCCAAAACAAAAAATTTGAATACATTTTTTACCCATTGGTGATTTTGGTGGTCATCTGGAAAATATTGCTCTACTAGGCTATGCAGATCTTCCAAACTATACCATATTTTAAAAAATACACTTGCTGCTAGATATGGTGGCTCACACCTTACAATGCCGCCACTTTGGGAGGCTGAGGTGAGCAGATCACTTGAGCCCAGGAGTTCAAGATCAGCCTGGGCAACATGACAAATCCCCATCTCTACAAACAAATACAAAAATTAGCCAGGCATGGTGATGCACACCTGTAGTCCCAGCTACTAGGGAGGGTGAGGTAGGTAGAGGCTGCAGTAAGCAGTGATTGCACCACTGTACCCTAGCCTGGGCAACACAGTGAGACCCTGTCTCAAAAAAAATCACATTTGCTAACATCTTTACTGACATCATCAGAAAAACGTTGAACTGTTAGGAAGCTGTGAAGCTCACAGCGGTGGATGCAAGTTGTCCACAGTTCTAGTTCTAGTTTTGTTATTGGCAACACAATTTCGTTATTGGCAACAACTAAACTCGGTTGTTGTCCTTGAAGTGACAGACTTACTTCATTCATTTTCAAAAAAACATTTCATTGGGAGGCTGAGGCAGAAGAATAGCTTGAACCTGGGAGGCGGACGTTGCAGTGAGCCAAGATCCCACTCCAGCACTCCAACCTGGGTGACAGAGCAGGACTCTGTCTCAAAAACAAACAAACAAACAAACAAATAACAAAATAAAATATTTCAAATGTAAATAATCATGGTTTGTCTGCAGGTAATCACGGTCTGTCAGGTAAGTATGGTATTTCATTTAAAAAAAAAAAAAAGCCTGGCTAATTAATTCAGTTCACGCCTCCATCACCCACACAAATGCTCTTGCTCAAGGCAGCCCTCAGCCTTGGGTGTGTAACAACAGTGACTTTTTTGTAGCTCCTTCCCATTTCATCACACAGAATGGTAAAAAGGCATTTGCTCGGGGTCTAGATTTGATCAAAGTAGTAACTGTTATTTCTTCATCAAAGGACATACTTAAGTGAACTGGCTTTGTGTTTAAACTGTGAGTATGTGGCAGTGAAGAATAAATGATACTAATACAGTTAAGGGCACTACCTTGATTTATGCATAGGTGCCAGCAATTTTACCCACAAATGCTTTTGCACCATCGAAGTCCGTACTGTGGGCCAGGCGCAGTGGCTCACACCTGTAATCCCAGCACTTTGGGAGGCCGAGGCACGTGGATCACATGAGATCAGGAGTTCGAGAACAGTCTGCCCAACATGGTGAAACCCTGTCTCTACTCATAATACAAAAATTAGCTGGGAGTGGTGGTGCACTCCCAGCAAAGATCGTGTCATTGTACTCCAACCTGGGTGACAAGAGCGAAACTCTGTCTCAAAAAAAAAAAAAAAAAAAAAAAAAAAAATAGCACTGTGGAAAAGGGCAAATAACATCTTCATATTATTATGAAAATTGTTTTGACCTCACAGGCCTCTTGAAAGGGACTTGGGGCCTCCAAGCCTCTGTGGATCTCACTTTGAAGCCCACTGCTCTAAGGATAAATACTTAGGAGGGAAATTGCTACATCAGAGAGTGCCTATGTGTCTCCAACTGGACTATATAATGCCAACTATTTTCCAGAGCGTTGTATCAATTTACATTCCCACCATGAGTGTATGGGTGTTTCCATTGCTCCACACCTTCGCCAACATTTTCAGCATCCCAAACAGAAACTCTGTACCCATTAAGCTATAACTCCCCATGCTCCCCTTCTCCTAAACCCCTGGTAGTCTCTATTCTACTTTGTCTCTGTGAATTTGCCTAGTCTAGGTATCTCATATAAGTGGAATCACATAATCCTTGTCCTTCTGGGTCAGTTGTCTTTCACTGAGATAATGTTGTTACTATGTTGCAGCGTGTATCAGCACTGCACTCCTCTTTATGGCTGAATGGTATTTCTGTTGTATGTATTTCACACACTGTTTATCCATTCATCTGGAGATGGACGTTTGATTTGTTTTCACATTTTGGCTTTTGTAAATAATGCTGGTATGAACATTGGTGTACAAGTAGATGTTTGAATCCCTGCTTTCAGTTCTTTGAGTTGATTCCTAGGTATGAAATCGGCACCACAAAACTGTTTTCTTCTCTCTCTCTTTTTTTCTTTTCAGGTCAGATGGGTTATGTGCTGACCTCATAACAAGGTTTGAGGGTGGCACGTCTCACACATGTACATGAACACCCAATCATCACGCTCATGAGTCATAAAAGGATCTGTTTCCCACAGCGTCTGCATCATTTCTCATTCCCATTTCCCTACATTCTCACCAACACTTGTTATTTTCCATTTTCTAAATAATAACCATCCTCACTGGGGTGAAGAGGTATCTCATTGTGAATTCAATTTCCTCTAATGGCTAATGGCACTGAGCATCTTGTCATGTGCTCATTGGCCATTCATATGTCTACTTTAGAGAAATGTCTATTCAAGTCCTTTGCCCAGATTTTTGTTTTGTTTCATTTTTTTATTTTAGGTTCCAGGGGTGTTTACATGCAAATATTGCAAGATCCTAGAGTTTGAGCTTCTAATGATCCTGCCACCCAGACAGTGAACGTAGTACCCAATAGGTGGTTTTCAACACTTGTCCTCCCTCCCCCTCACCACTTTGGGAATCCCTGGTGTCCATTGTTCTCATGCGTGTGTCCGTATGTCCCTAGTGTCGAGCTCCCACTTATGAATGAGAACATGTGGTTTTTGGTTTTCTGTTTCTGCATCAATTCACTTAGGATAATGGCCCCCAGCCACATCTGTGTTGCCACAAAGAACATTATTTCATTCCTTTTTATGGCTGTGTAGTGTTCCATGATGTATATGTACCACATTTTCTTTTATTTTATTTTCTTTCTTTTCCTTTTCTTTTCTTTGAGACAAGGTCTCACTTTGTCACCCATGCTGGAGTGCCACAACGTGATCACAGCTCCCTGCAGCCTCAACCTCCCAGGCTCAAGCAATCCTCCTGTCTCGGCCTCCTGAGTAGCTGGGACTGCAGGTGTGCACCATCACACCTGGCTAATTTTTGTATTTTTGGTAGAGACGAGGTTTCACCATGTTGCCCAGGCTGGTCTCAAACTCCTAGGCACAAGTGATCCACCGACCTCAGCCTCCCAAAGTGCTGGGATTACAGGCATGAGCCACTGCACCCAGCTTGTACCACATTTTCTTTATCCAATCCACACCATCGAGGGGCACCTGGGTTGATTCTGTGTCTTTGCTGTTGTAAATAGTGCTGTGATAAACATGGAAATATAGGTGTCTCTTTGGTAGAAGGCTTTATTTTCCTTTGGGTAAATTCCTAGCACTGGGATTGTTGGATCTACCTGTAATTCTAGTCTTAGTTCTTTGCCTTTACTCATTTTTAAATCAGGTTTCGTGTGTGTGTGTGTGTGTGTGTGTGTGTGTGTGTGTGTGTGGCTGAGTGTTAGTTCTTTCTTGAATATTAAGTAAATGAAGCCACCTGGGCCAGGAGGTTTCTGTCTTGTTTTTGTTGGAACGCTTTTTATTTTAGACTCACTATCTTTATTAGGTACAAAACTAAGTAGGTTTTCTGTTTCCTTTTCCAGCTTTGGTAAGTTGTATTTTTCTAGGAATTTACACATTGCATCTAAATTTTCAACATTTCTGACACATGTCATTCATAATGTCTTCTTAGTATCATTTTGTATCCCTAGGGCCTATATTAAAGTTTCTTTTATGCCCAGTATTTGCTATTTATGCCTTTTCTCTTTTATATTTATTGGTCTTACCAGATGTTTACCAATTTTATCAGTCTTTTCCAAGAGCTGAAACGTGTCATGGGTGATCATCCCTATGGTGTGATTGTTTAATTTTAGAAACCTTCCTTTAAAGATATAAAAAAGAATTTAAAAAATTTAGAAGTATAAAACTACCTTAAAAACTTTATTTTTTTCATTATCTTTCTTGTATTTTCTTTGGATTTATTTTGCTATCAGTTTTCTGGTTTTTGAGATGGACGTTTAGTTCATTAATTTTCAGCCTTTATTCCTTTCTTCTGTATGTTTTTAAGACTACAAATTCCTTTCATTGTTGTTTTGAAGATATAAATTCCCTTAACTATTATTTTTCTGCTTCCCATAGTGGACTAAACTATTTTCTGTTAGTTTAGTGTTTACCAAAGAAATTACCATGCACTCGTGACTTAGCAAAATTTAATGTTGGTTGATGCTTTTACCCTCCTCCCAGAAAACTCAAGGCCTTAGAACAATTTATTTGGTCCCTTCGAGACCTATATGTTATTATGTACTCAAGGCCTTAGAACAATTTATTTGGTCCCTTCGAGACCTATATGTTATTATGTACTCTCATTCTCCCTCCTATATGTTTTACATTACATGAGTTATTATTATTATCATTTTATCGTGTTTACTTAGATTTGCCCACATATTTGCCATTTGCATTATTTTTTATTCCATTCTGCATCTCCGATCTCCCATCTGTGATCATTTTTCTTTTCCCTGAACAACCCTTTAGAATTTCCTTTAAAGGAGTGCCGATGGCAGCAAACAATTTCTATATATCTGAAAGCATCTTTATTTCACTTTGGTTCTGAAGGATATTTTCGGTGAGAGTACCATTTCAGTATGGCAGTTGCTATTCTTCACACATGGAAGATATCATTCGGCTGGTAGCCTGAGGGGAGTTCGAGCACGCCCATGTCCCTCCCTGCTTGAAACTTATGTTTTCAGAATATGCCCATCATCTAGCTCCGCCTTGGAAATCCCCTCTGCACTTGGCACCTAGCCCGGCCCTTGGAAATCCCCTCCGCACTCGGCACCTAGCCCCGCCCTTGGAAATCCCCTCCGCACTCGGCACCTAACCCCGCCCTTGGAAATACCCTCTGCACTCGGCACCTAGCCCCGCCCTTGGAAATACCCTCCGCACTCGGCACCTAGCCCCGCCCTTTGAAAGCCCCTCTGCACTCGGCACCTAGCCCTTGGAAATCCCCTCTGCACTCGGCACCTAGCCCTTGGAAATCCCCTCTGCACTCGGCACCTAGCCCCGCCCTTGGAAATCCCCTCTGCACTCGGCACCTAGCCCCACCCTTGGAAATCTCCTCTGCACTCGGCACTTAGCCCCGCCCTTGGAAATCCCCTCTGCACTCGGCACCTAGCCCCGCCCTTGGAAATCCCCTCTGCACTCGGCACCTAGCCCTTGGAAATCCCCTCTGCACTCGGCACCTAGCCCTTGGAAATCCCCTCTGCACTCGGCACCTAGCCCTTGGAAATCCCCTCTGCACTCGGCACCTAGCCCCGCCCTTGGAAAGTCCCTCTGCACTCGGCACCTAGCCCCACGATTGGAAATCTCCTCTGCACTCGGCACTTAGCCCCGCCCTTGGAAATCCCCTCTGCACTCGGCACCTAGCCCCGCCCTTGGAAATCCCTTCTGCACTCGGCACCTAGCCCCGCCCTTGGAAATCCCCTCTGCACTCGGCACCTAGCCCCGCCTTTGGAAATCCCCTCTGCACTCGGCACCTAGCCCTTGGAAATCCCCTCTGCACTCGGCACCTAGCCCTTGGAAATCCCCTCTGCACTCGGCACCTAGCCCTTGGAAATCCCCTCTGCACTCGGCACCTAGCCCGGCCCTTGGAAATCCCCTCTGCACTCGGCACCTAGCCCTTGGAAATCCCCTCTGCACTCGGCACCTAGCCCCGCCATTGGAAATCCCCTCTGCACTCGGCACCTAGCCCGGCCCTTGGAAATCCCCTCTGCACTCGGCACCTAGCCCCGCCCTTGGAAATCCCCTCCGCACTCGGCACCTAGCCCCGCCCTTGGAAATCCCCTCCGCACTCGGCACCTAACCGCGCCCTTGGAAATCCCCTCCGCACTCGGCACCTAGCCCCGCCCTTGGAAATCCCCTCCGCACTAGGCACCTAGCCCCGCCCTTGGAAATCCCCTCCGCACTAGGCACCTAGCCCCGCCCTTGGAAATCCCCTCCGCACTCGGCACCTAGCCCCGCCCTTGGAAATCCCCTCCGCACTCGGCACCTAACCCCGCCCTTGGAAATCCCCTCCGCACTCGGCACCTAGCCCCGCCCTTGGAAATCCCCTCTGCACTCGGCACCTAGCCCTTGGAAATCCCCTCTGCACTCGGCACCTAGCCCTTGGAAATCCCCTCTGTCCTGGGCACTTAGCCCGCTCACCGGAAGTCCCACCTACCTACCAATAGCAGCTCACCCCTTCCACATCCTGTTTTTCCAAATCCAATCAAACGCCTTCACTCCCTATAAAAGCCAACTCCTGAGCGGAATCAGCGTGACTTCCCCAGCCCCTCTTCCTGGGACCACAGAGCCTCGCCCAGGGACTGAATAAATTGGCATCTAATTTTCTTGTGCTGGCTTCAGTTTCCTCCTTTTTAACTCGGCAATAAATCTGCAGAGAATAAAATTACACCACTGTTTCTTGACTGTCATTCCTTCTGAGAAAACAAGTGTCTGTCTAACTAGTAATTCTTTTAAGGTATTTGGGCCATTCTTTTGTTTTGTTTTTAACATTTTCTCTTTCTGTTTGGTTTCCTGCAGCTTTATCCTGCTATGTCTAGGAGCGGATTGCTTTATGCAGCTTGCAATATGCTTCTTGGACTTATGGATAAATGTCTTTCAATCATTTTAGAAGTCTCAGCTATTATATGTTCAAATATGGCTGCTGCCTGCTTTCTTTCCCCTCTCCTTCTGGAACACCAATTACATATTTGTCCTTTCTTATCACTGAATCCTCAATGCCTCTGGCCCCCTCTTCTGTATTTTCTTTCCTTTTGTCTCTTCATGCTTGATTTCTTATCGTTTCTTCTGACCTGGATTGCACTTTACATAAATAACTTTTTTCGGGTGTGTCTAAGGTGAAATCAAACCTGTTAACGTGAACTAAATATGACCTGAGAAGGACTCTGTACTTCTCTATGTGAGCGCTTGTGGACAAATCGCAACCTGGCTTAATAGGTAGACAAGACTGAAAACGTTAACTTAGGAGTCTGCGCCTTTAACAGCAGCTGAGCCTCGGCCCATCCCAGAAGCCATGCTTCAGCCACGCACAGGCAGCTGAGGTTCAAACTGTGTTTAAATAAGGCGAACACCAACCTGTAGCCAGTCCAGCTGTTTCTGTACCTCACCTCCAGTTTCTGTATGTGACCTCCCCTTTTTGTCTATAAATTTGTTCTCACCACGAGGCACATCTGGAGTCTCTTCGAATCTGCTGTGATTC